GGGGAGGACAGAGAAGTCAACAAACTGATCTGGGCTCAGCTGATCATCACCTTGGGGCTATTGAGAGGAGAACTAGCAGTATCCTCCAAAGATTCATCATAAGTTATTTCCTTGCTTCTTGTTTTCTTGAAATTGAGTTTCTTGGGATAATTTGGTGAGTCAGCCATTGATGATGAGGTTGGAAGCACTTGATTGTTGCTAGGGATATCATTATTCCATACAACATAGGAAGCAGCATCAGAAACCAAAGAAGGGCTACAAAAAGCATCAGAACATGAGCTATGTTCTCTTTGGTTTGATAAAAAATCATCAAAGTAAGCCGTCCAACCACTCTCCTCTCTAGTGGTATCTTGTGTTCCTTTGGGGACAAGAGACTTGTTCCCTGATGAACTCAACGAGGCCTCCATGAATATATGTCTAGAAAGAAGAAAATTACGAGAGAGAGAGAGAGAGTGGATTGTTTTTGCAGACTTTGAGAGGTTTTTCAGGGAGATTTATAAGAGAAAGGGATGATGTAAAGAATGGAGAAAAAGGGTACCCATGATGTAGAATCTTGGTGTGGGCCAGCAGGAGTTGAGGAAGTTAAAATCAGCAGCTGCAACAAGAGAGAGAGAGAGAGAGAGAGAACGTGCAAAGAAGGAAACAAATTTGATAAAAGAGGGTATGGGTTGACCTTTGTTGTTCGAATGTGGTTGAAACTAAAGATATATAGGCAGCCATTTTCTTTGTTTTCAGTTTGAACGATGCACGCAACTTTATTCGGAGATTTAATCATGGACGGAGCCCTCTTTCAATCTAATAAAATGGTTGGTGAAAAATTCAACATTCATAATTTTGTTGAGGTCGCTTGAAGTTTTCCATTGGTTTCGATAATATATATTAGGTCCGGTAATCATGTCAGGTGAAATGATTTTATGTTGAGCGGAATAGATTTGTATTAAAAATAACCCTTTATCTATATCTCATTTGTTTATATAAACGGATCCAATTATCACACCCGTACACAAACTCGGCTATTTGACGAATTATCCGACATAACTCATGTGTCACCCACTAAATAAGAGAATTGGTAGAGTATTTCGAGTTTACACAAAAAATCATCAACTCGTCACACATTATATATATTGGATCTGTTTATTATAATAATAAATTATGGCTAAACCAAAAAATAAACATCAAATTACCACCAAATTTGAAGGAGTCTGAAAGATGGAAGACGTGATATAAGGTTGAGAGACCTAATTTTTTTTTAATGGAATTTATAGTGTCACTGTTAATGGATTAAACGGGTTGAAATGAGTTTATATGTTAAACACGAATCGATTTGTTTATTTCACAGGTCTGCCGAGTTAACCCGTTAACAACCTGAATTCATTAAGATTACATTCAAACCCGTTAAATTCGTGTTGAATTTTTATCGACTTCACAAGTCGTGTCTAAGATTGTCAAACCTAATATATATACTAATGAAGACATAGTGTAATGCACAGATTTGTATTTCATTTTTTTTATTATCCTTTTTCTCTATGTTTTTCTCTCTTCCCCTCCAACATTTAAAGAGTACAAAAATTAGACAAATAATTATAAAAACTTAGGATGATAGAAAAATTTTTTCTTAAAATATTTAAATTATGAGTTATTAATTAGTGGAGGGATGGTTATGCTACATGGTGAAATTTAATTGGATTGAATGCAATAAAATAAATTAAAATTCTAAAAATTGCAAGCATAGGGAGGGAAATACATACATATTCTTGATTCAAAAACATAATTCTTTGTTTATAAGAAAATAAATGATTTTATGGGTCAAAAAAATAAGCACCACAAGATTCAGCCGGAAGCTGGTCTAGTCTGTTTGACCATTATGTAGTTCGACTGGTGGAGCAAAAACATGGACATGGGAGGTCATGGTGTCCCCTTTTTATCAAGAAATTACTGCTGGAGGTAACGGTCATGGTCATTCTCATGGTCGTACCCGCCTTAAACCTATTTTTTTTCGAAAGTTACGGGTGATCGAGTCAATTTATACACACCTCGTGATCTAGAATATTCATGAGAGACAAAAAATTATTAAAATTCGAACTTAAAACATCTTACATTTATAATTTGTTCCAATTATTATTTGAACTACTCCTTATAATTACCCGCTTAAAGTTAATGTATATGAATTTAGTCTTAGGAGATTTTGGTCAACAATAAACAGAACCATCGTACTTGTTATTAAATGAGTCGGCCCAAACTTGCTATACACCACATGACTACAAGGGCACATATTTATGAACTGGCCAGATATGAATTAATTAAATTTGACAAACTTTTACATGACACATAACCAATATGACACCACACATAGTGGACCGAGACCTGAATGTCCTGGATTGGGCTAACCAAGCTTAAGGTTCATGGAATGGACTATCTTTAATTAGGGCCGATAATAGAGCCGACTCTTTCGAGTTGAGTTCGTTTAAAAAATAAGTCGAATCCAAATAAACTCTATACAGGCTAAATCCGAAACGAGCTCGAATAACTCGATTCAANGGATGGCAACCTGAAATGAATGTAAATAATTAGAAAAAGGCAGAGTAAATCAAATTTATATTCCAATTTTTGCAGCAATTATCTGTTTATCCCTTTCATTCTAGTTTTTTTTTAATCTCTAGCCACTAACAAAAGCATAAACACTTGGAGCGGAATTCAAAATATCAAGAAGAAAAGTGAAGCATGGAAGAGTTTGGCTATCCCCATTGGTGGAAAAGTTAAGTACATCCATTGGTGCTTGGTCATATTTCTGATGAGAAACACTACGTTGTGTATTTTGAACAAGCTGAACCCTTAGTAAGACTCATGGCTGTTTGCATAGGTAAAAACCATCAAAGTACTCTCACAATTTTGCGAATATCAGCATATCTTTGTCACATCACATTAAGTTGTTTGAATTTACCAAGTCATCAACAAATGTACCAACTGTGTGCCATTTGCAGGCATGACAGGCACACAATCCATTGCGAAATTAGAAGGGGTTGAAGCATTCAGTGCATATGCAGTTTTAACAATCAGATATATATACTTGTACAACAATCTTGCATCTATATACTTGACAAACAAATATAAACAAGAGCTGGTCTATCACGAGCTTAAACTCGTGGTAATTACAGCAGAGCTCTCCAGAAATTTGACAAATTCAAACATGATAAACATTATACATATTATACAATTATGTTTCACTACATCATTATGTTTCACAATAAGACCATCCTTTGCCATAGAAATACCGGCAGAACAACTCAAAAGATAAGGAGGTATTGTTAATTACTTAATTTCTTCATGCATGTTCCAAGTTCGGAGTGCCATTTATACAAATAAGAATCTCCTTCGTCACATGATTTCTTCTTCATATAGATTAAATATAGGATCTATAGAGCAATTACTTAGAAGTAAATTTTGTGCTACAACCCTTCCTATTTTGATAGAAAAGAATCCCATGATCCTGAACCAATCTTTAGATCAAAACCTCGAGATTAAGTCAAATTTGTTGGTCAAGGCTGACATAACATATTAGTAAAATATGGTCGAAGGAAAGAGAAACTAAAAAATGGTCAAACGAAGTACAAAATATACATGAGAACTATTATAAACCTAATGGGGAGCCATTGAGTTTTCTGAAAACCTAAGGGGGCACATGAAATTTCTAAAGACTTGAGACGTGAGACTTGAGACTTGAGACTTGAGAGGGGCCATGGGCCACTGTGGCTCTGTCCCTAGGTGTGTCTCTCTATTTTGGGTGCAAGTACCCTAAAGCTTTTTTTGATCAAGCTTAAAGCTTTTTCACCTTTCCACATCCCAATTTTTCTTTAGATCATATATAAACAATTGTGAATACACTCTCACAGAAAATAAATGGAGATCAAAGGACTGAACCTGTAAGAAAATTTATAAATATATAAACGATACAATAGTGCATTAATGTCATAGTGCTATGTTGCTCCCTATCATAGCTTTCACCTGCCAAAACAGAAAAAGCACAAAAATACCAGCGCTATACATCACCTGTTTAGCATCAAAATTTACAATGGCAAGATGAATTTTTGTAGAGATCAGTCTAACAATAAACCTTGACTGATGGAACGCGTTAAATCAAAGGTCTTAAACTCGAGTCTCACACCTCGAGTGGACCTCACCCGGATCCCATAATCCAAGCTAGGTCCCACCCAGGATCCTAACAATCTATTCATTCCCAAAAAATATTCCCACCCAGGACCACACCCAAGATGAATTTTTGTATAGTCCCAAAAAGAATGGTGGCAATATCACTTTTCAGAGAAAAAGAAAATAAATTTTATTAACAAGTACTAATGACGTTCTTGAAATTAACCCAATTTCCATAACAATACGAACTCAAAATGAAATTGCTACATATATTCAGGCAATTGGAAGCCCTAATTCACGGATCTCAATAAACCCACAGAATCCCAGATTCAAATTAACACCAATTTTCAGCTTACTCAGACAGGCTATCGTGCTAAGAAAAAGGAAAAAGAAGATTCAAGAGAAATAATTAATACAGAGAAGAAATTAAAGGAAGAGATATATAGAAATCACCATGGAAGTGGAAATGGAAACGCCATAGATCAAGCTAGTGGTTCTAAGCCAAGACTTTCCGGCGACAATGCCGTAGAGATTGGCGATGGAAAGAGGCCACAAGAAGAGAAGCTCGAGCCAGACAAGGCCGACGAAGAAGTTGGGCTTCTCAGAGATCAAGTAATCGCCGTACTCGCGGCTATACCAGGTGTTGAGGTCGACGAGATAATCCGGGTAGAGGTCTCGAGGGAGGCAACTCTGGGCGTCAAAGAGTGGAGCTACCACAGCTATGAGCAAGAAGAAGAAGAAGAGTATTGCGTCTACGAGCTTGATCACAGCACCCATTTCTCTGTGTCTCTCAGTTGTGGTATTTTTTGTTGTTCTTGAGGTGATGATGGATCTGTGTTTCGGGTTGTTTGACTGTGAAAAGGGTAATCTTGCCAGGGGTGGGCTCCTCTGCTTTTCCGGAAGAACAGCAGATTTTGCTGGTATGCACTTCTGCCAAACGACGCGGTTTTGTCAATTTTCTTTGCCCCCAAAAATCAACGCCGATATAATAATCAATATAATAAAATAACTTACGATTCAAATTTTAAAAAATAAATAAAATAATTTTTATTATTTACAATTGAGATTATTTTTAATTTTATTTTAAAATTAATCTAACAGCTAATATTAATATACTAAATTTAATAAGAAAAATAGGCTCATAATAGTATGTTTGGAGTAGGACTGTCAAAATTCAACACGACACGATTAATCGATACGAATTAAGTGAATTTAGGTGAGATTTTAACGGGTTTGAGTGATAAACGGATTGACACGTCAAATACGTTTAATAAATAGGTCGTGTTCGGGTGAGACATGTCAAACCGTTTATTACACGTTTATCCGTTTAAATAAAATTAATAATAATAAATTAATAATTATTTTAAAAAGTTAACAAGAAAAAAAAAATAAAAAAATCAATTAAAAAAAAGAAGTAAATGAGTAGTTCAAAGATAAAAGATAGGAGATGAGAAGCACTTCAAAGACAAAGACAAACTAATACCTTTTGTTTTTCTCCCACGTTGAAAAATGAAAGGAGATGGGGAGGATTAAGTTGTCTATAAAAAACAATGACCTCTTTTTTTTTTAAAGCTTTCAAATCTTATTTTTATGAGATTTGACAAAAAATTTCTCTTTTTTGAGGTAAGTGTAATTGACAATAAAAAAAAATTAGAGAATTAAAATTTGTTAATATAATTTTTTTTTTAAATTCAATGGGTTAAACGAGTTGTGTCGTGTTACCCGTTTATTAAACGAGTCGTATTTGTGTGGAGACTTTTTACTCATTTATTAAACATGTCGTGTACGAGTTTATATATTTTTCACCCGTGATCCGTTTAATCCGACACATTTGACACTTCTAGTTTGAAGTGAATTTTAAAAGTACATTTAAAAATTATTTCTCATAAATATTTTTTTTTAAAAATAGTGTTTGAAACCACCCCGCTACTACCTCTTCCACCACCACCACCATCGTTGCCTCTCCCACCGCCATCGTCGTCGCCACCACCCCTGCCGCCACCACCATCCCCACCCCGTCACTGCCACCACCACCACTACCACTACCACTACAACCACTGCTGTCAAGACCACCACCATCATCGTCGTCGCCACTACAATCATCATAACTGCCGCCACCACAGTCGTTACCACCTATCACAACCTTCAGCATCTCTAACCACCACCACTGAAGTCTACCACCTCTCACCCTCACTATAACTAATACTTAAGTTTATTTATCTTTTATTTGTGTTTGTGATTTGATTTTAGATATAAATATAAATATAAATATGTTTATTGTTTATTATTTTTTATTATTATATGTCTTCAGGTATAGACAATAACTAGTAATATAATAAAATATAAAAAAGGTTGAATTCTAAAAAAAAAATTTACTTTTATTTTTGACAGTTTAAATTTATCCGATGGTTAAACAGTAGCTACTGAAATTCACTCTCATTATAGTCACATAAATTTAAATTTAAATCTGTCTTTGTGGACGACATTACTCTTCCTATTTCACATGGACGGGCATTACTCTTTCTCTCTCACGTGGAAGACATTACTTTTTCCGGTGGATTTGAGCTCCGATAACATACGGTCACACACACCATTTTCTCCCATGTCCCTGTCTTCTCTCTTTGTTTTTCACACACATTCAATCTCTTTGTTTTTCCCACACATTCAATCTCGGAACCACCGCAACACACACAAGCACACCCAACCCCAAACACACGTTGCCACCCATACACAAGTTTTTCGCACGGATATTTGGTTACTAGATTTAAAATTGAGCAATACTATTGGGACCTAATTTGCTGATCTAATTCACTATGAAACTTGAAAGTTGACGTTGATCCAATGTTTTTATTGAAGTCACATCATTATGTCAACAAATTAAGTCAGATTTTTAAATACAAATAATATTACTCTTTAAAATTTTGCTGTCATTTATGTGTACTTACATTGTTTGAAGGTTTATGCAATTTTGTCCAAAATTTTTTTTTTTTGGGTACAACATTGATTGGTACCTAGTCTTATGTTCCTTACTATTGATATGAAACAGTTTTGCAGAATAAATGAAACCTAAAACACAACTTTATACCAGAGACATATAACTCTCATTCCCTGAAATTCATTCAATGGTTCACCCTCGTCGATACACATGACTAATATTTGCATGAAATTGAGTGAAAATAACAACCTTACATATTAGGAGTTTAAGTTTATTACAAGACGATATTACATTTTCGTCAACAACAGGAACATAAACTCATAGCCATTGAAAAATGCTTAATTGAAAACTTTCAAGCCCTCTTTTTCGCAACCAGTGCAGGTTTTTCGCCGCCGATTGCCGGAGTAGTCACCGAATCTGGTAGCAGACCACGGAAAATAGCTAAAACAGCTAAACCCAGAAATGGGTAGTACGAAATCAACAGTTTATCTGGTGCTCTACCGGACCCTATCAGTTCAGCTAAGATGGCAACCTAAAACAAGTATAATCAAATTATAAAAAAAAAAGCAAAAAGTAAATTAATTTTGTATTATAGGGTTGATAATCGAGCTAATATTATCGAGTTTTTTTTTTAAATGAACCTAAAAAATTATTTAAACTTAACACGTTTAGAAAATGAGCAGAATCCAAACTAAGCCCAAAATAAACCGAACATGAATAACTCAATTATTTTATACATAAATGAGCCGAACCTTTTAAGCTTTTTTCTAAACGAGCTTAAAAATTGTTCAACTTTAACTCGTTTAGAACACAAGCTTCCCCTGAATCAAATTTTATCCAAGACAAGACTGAGTTGAACTTGAGAGCTTGATTCAATTATTAACCTTACTTCATACATAGGATCAAAATTTCTTTGCATACTTTCAATGAACTTAAAAATAAAAACATTTTGAAATAATTTAAACTTTTAAAATAAATAATATTTATTCTGATATTCGAGCTTAGATGTTCTTAGTTCAAATCTCATCAGAACATTTTCCTTTTTAAGAAAAAAAAAATTGTAGATAGACCTCCTAAAGGAAGGGCCACATTTAATGGGAGGACCAACGATAATTTTTAGAAATTTATTTCGAAACATTAATTAACAATGTAACAAAATTTGTTGTAAAAATATAACAAAATATTTTAAAATATAAATTTTGAATATTCAATTATTGAATGTTTCACGAGTAATTATTACTATGAGCTCTCTATCACTTTAAAAAATAGATAATTTTATGTGCATTAAAACTTGCAATAAATCAACTATAGTCATTGGATCACTAATAAAACTCACAAATCCAATAACTACAAGTAATTTGATATATATTTTTAATAACACTAATGTTATTGGGACATAATTTGAGAATATAATGAGTTGTTACTAATGAAATGATAGTGAAATGTATTTAATGATGGGTCTCATTGTAATATTAATAAATTTATTATCATATCATTAATGACATAATATTATGTACTCAAATTATGTCTCAATAGCATTATTTTTTTAATAAATATGTCAAACATTGTAAACAGTTCACACCCTATACTATAGAGAAGAAAAAGAAAAAGAAAAAGATATATAGAAATCACCATGGAAGTAGAAATGCAAACGCCAAAGATCAAGCTGGTGGTCCTAAACCAAGACTTTCCGGTCACAACGCCGTAGAGATTTGCGAAGGAAAGAGGCCACACGAAGAACAACTCGAGCCAGATAAGGCCGACGAAGAAGTTGGGTTTCTCAGAGAACAAGTAATCGCCAAACTCGCGGCTGTACCAACCGTGGAGGTCGACGAGGAAGTCCGGGTAGAGATCTCGAGGGAGGCAATTCTGGACGTCTATGAGTGGGGCTATCACAGCTATAACCAAGAAGTAGAGGAAGAGTAGTGTGTCTATCAGCTTCATCACAGCACCCATCTCTCTCTCTCTCTCTCTCTCTCGTTTTGGTTTTTCTGCCCCTGGATTCTGGTGTTATTGATGTGATGATGGCTCTGTGTATCTTGTTTAGTCGTGAAAAAGGATCTGAAACATGAATATACAAGTGTAGTTTATAAATACACATTAACCCAAGTACTTTTCAAAATCACACAGATTTCCCCACCTTCTTGTCTGATAGTGCAAAGGGTATCTTTGAGTTCTAAAGCACGAATAGCCCACCTACAAACACTTATCATTTTATCTTCAATTACATTCAACTAATTACTGATTTTCACACATTTTAATTCTAACAAACTTAATTATATAATTATATGTTAGTTATAGATAAAAAAAATATAATATACAATATATAATAGTTTTAATAATTTATATTTATGTACCACACGTTTAGGTTAATTACATTTTTTTTTCTCGTGACCTAATGTTCATTAGTCTAGTCATGTTATTGCATCGTAAATTTTGTATTAATAGCATAAATATTTTAAAAAAATTAGTTGAAATTTAGGTATAATTTATTAAAATTTAATTAATTAAGTTATTTGAATGCGATCATATTTTGGATGATAAACAGATTTGAATATTGACCACAAAAATAAAATCCATTGTATTATAGAATCAGACTTTAAAATCGAACTCCAATCAATAAAAAAACTGATTCAAACATGATGCAGTAACAGACCTAATGAAAATGCTCTAAAAGCCTAAAGACTTTTATTTAGACTAGCTAAATTAGAGAGCATGATTTTTTTTCCCTGCAACTAGAGAGAACAATTTGACTCTATATTTAGAGAGACAATTCCGCTCTCTATTTTATCATTAATTAATGAAAATAAGTCATTAAATACTTTGACTATAACGACTACTCTTGCATTAGAATAGAAAATCCTATTGAAATTGTTGAAAAAAATTCATTCTGCTTTTAAACCTTTTATCACAAATGCTCTCAATAAAAAAAAAATAAAGAAACTATTGGAGATACTCTTTTACATTTTCATATCGAAAACCCATCCGAACCCGATAAATAAACATGTCCTTGGAGTTCAAATTTACCACAAACGATGTTACATTTTCATACTTGAAACTCCCTAGAAATCACAACAAAAGAAACCCAAACTCATAGCCATTGAAAGCTTAGTTGAAAATTTTCAAGCCCTCTTTTTCGTAAACAGTGCAGGTCTTTCGCCGCCGATTGCCGGAGTAGTCACCGAATGTGGTAACAGACCTCGCAAAATAGCTAGAACAGCTAAACCCAACTCGAGCTCAAGCTCAACTTATATTCTAAATAAATCAAGTTTGAATAATTTTTTAAAAACTTAACTTGAGTTCGCAATGTTTGACTCGAATTTACAACATTCGATTCGTTAATATGTAAAATAAATGAATTACTTGGACTTGACTTATTTTTTAAACAAATCAAACTATTTTTTAAACTCATTTAAAAGAACGAGCTCGACAAACTAAGGTTAAAGCTGGTTGAGCTCCATTAACAGCCTTGGTGAAAAGGAATTTGAAACATGAATATAGGAGTATATTTTATAAATACAAATGAACCCATGTACTTTCTAAAATTACACATATTTCCCTCTTTGTGTTTGATAGTGAAAAGGCCTAAAGGGCACGGTTTTAGTTCAGAAAAGACACATGTACCCATGTACTTTCTAAAATTAAATATATTCACCTCTCAACCACTTCTAGAGTTGTAAAAGAGGTCGATGGAACCTACTACCCATGAGCCAATTATTTTAATTGATACCATCTTGAAAGGAGGAAATAATGCAAAGATGATGACAATGCTATTTGTCTTAGTGTGGTGTGGTGGATCTGTGTTTCTCTATTGTTTGATAGTGAAACAGGGTCTGAAATATGAATAAAAGTGGAATCAACGATGTCACTATAATAGTGCTCATAATGTGATTATGGTAGTATTACATCCGGGGGCGGAGCTATGTGTAGATGTATGAGGGCAGTTGCTCCCACTAATTTTTTAGAAATTAACAAATATACACAGTGACAACAAATTATGATCTATTTAACTTATTGCCCCCCTTAATTTTCTGAAAAATTTAATACACTTCCTTGTACTTTTTTAAAAATAATTATGTAGTTGTCCTTAATTCATTTTTTTTTAAATTAGGAGCTCAAAACCTAGTAACACAATCAATAGATATATAGCAAATGATAAAATGTGTTAAACTAAAAATGTTAATGCCTTTTTAAAAACATCAATTTCTCAACAAGATTAAAAGAAATTATTTTAAAATATCTTTTAGAATTGATCAATTAATGACGATTATTAGAATTCGAAATAACATTATNACATCAATTTCTCAACAAGATTAAAAGAAATTATTTTGAAATATCTTTTAGAATTGATCAATTAATGACGATTATTAGAATTCGTAATAACATTGTTGTGTTTCTCTTTAATATATGACTAAGTTGAAATGTCCAATTAATTTTTATTTTTAATTTTCATTCTGTAATTAAACCTTTGATTTCAACATACTTCTCATAGGTGAACTAAGGGATTTTGTGTGTGAAATATACACCTAATTTAGTCATTATTAATGGAGATGTAGAAATTTATTTTAATATGAGCTGATTATATTTTTTATTTATGATTTTGCCCCCACTAGGATAGAATCCTAGTTCCGCCCCTATTACATCCTTTCTATTTTAGTTCATATTTTTTTTTATGAAAATTATAATTAGACTTCTTAAGTTTTTCACTTAATCATTCAAACCCCTTGATATTGAAAATATTACACACAGAACTCTGAAGTTTATGCGTGCGTAATACTTAGACCCTTACTATCAAATGTCAGTTAATATATCTATTAGTAAATTACACCTAGATCCCTTGAAATTTATATTCAAGTTTAAATGTTATACTTAAACAAAAAATATTCTAATCAAACATAAAATATCAAATATTTTAAATTTTACAATCAAAATTCATCTTCTATTGTAATATTTTTTGAAATAAAATTAAAATTAAAAATATATTTTTTTCTTAAAAAATCATAATTAGTATATAATTATACTATGTATTGAAATTTAATTTGGTCGTTTAAACGACCAAATTAAACTAACAAATTATCCCAATTAAAGCTAGAATATATTGTGTCAATTACAGTTTGACTCATTATTTGATTTTTTAGTTTTATTCCAATATATAGTATAATTATATATTAATTATGATTTTTTAAGAAAAATTAGATTTTTATTTCAATAGATGACATAACAGAACATGAATTTTAGTTGTAAAATTCATGTTCTATTATAAATGACTTAAACCCTTTATTTGATTTTTTTTGTTTTATTCCAATAGATAATATAATTGTATATATTAATTACGATTTTTTATTTTATTTTTGATTTTATTTCAATAATGATACAATATAACATGAATTTTAATTTTAAAATTTAAAATATTTGATATTCTATCTTTGATTTGAGTATTTTTTGTCTAAATATAATATTTTAAAATTGAGGAGTCTAAGTATATACTTACAAACTGCAGAGAATCTGAGTGTAATTACTAAAGGATATCCTAACAGATATTATATGGTAGGAGTTTGAATGGATAAAAGTCTAAATGTTATGTACNTAATTAAATCTTTGATCTTAACATACTTCTCATAAGTGAACTAAAGAATTTTTTGTGTGAAATATTCACCTAATTTAGTCATTATTAATGGACACTGCAACAAAATTTATGTTTTGCGACAATCTTTTTCGTTGCTAAATTAAAAAAAAATTAAAATTTTTTATTTACATAAAAATTTATTGGTGACGCTGTTTAAAAACGTCACGAAAACTTAATTAAATTATTTATTTATGCAAAAAAATATTTGTGATGTTTTAAAACGTTGCAAAAAAATAATTAAATTATTTTTTTATTTAATTTGTCAAATCCCGCAGTTTCTTCTACCAAATACAAATTGGAAGGAATCGCCTTTTCGCGACGTTTTTAAAAAAACGTTGCAAAAAATTGCCAAAATAAAAATTTAGATTTTATTTTACTTTAAATTTTAGATTATTTATTTTTGCGACGAGATAAAACTATTTACAACAAAAACTTTTTGTCGTAAAAAATTGTGACAATTATAAAATCGTCGCAAATAGTAAACTTTTTGCGACAAATTTAAAATCGTCGCAAAAAATATTTTTTGTTGTAGTGGGAGATGCAGAAATTTTTTTAATACGGGCTGATTATATTTTTTATTTATGATTTTGCCCCCACTATGATAGAATCTTAGCTCCGCCCGTGTATTACCAAATGAATAATAAAAACAACTCTCGGCATTTGTAAACATCAAGACAGCTCTGGCAAAATGCATATTTATGACTAATGAACACAACTCTGTTCATTTGCTTGTCAAGCTTAATAATCCCTCGAGACATAATGCATCCTTATCTTATGATATAGATATAAACATTGACATACATAGATGCACATATATGCACACGCCCACGTGCGTGCGCGTGCTCTAGTGTGTGGTGTCAGTATATTAGCTGCTCTAAGAAAGCTTGAAAGAGAAAACCCAACTGTGGGTCAAATGAAAAGATTTATACCGATTTTTTCTTGGTCGAAGGCAGCACAAAATATTTAGTGATCAAAATTGACGCTTTGGCCGAGCCTCAGCAACGCTTACTCGGATTGCCCTGCCATTAAGGTCCTGCATTTGAAATGAGATGGTCAAGTCGACATCAAAGGAAATATTCCAGACTTACTATGTATCTTCTGCGAGTTAAAATTTGATCGCAGAAGATAGAATGCATGAATCGATTCAAATGAAAATGCCCAAAAAAATTACAGTCATTACTGCCACTAAAATAAATTTCATAATATCATAATTGACGATGAAAAAATAATTCTCAAATGTTAAAAAAGTAACAAATGGACTGTCCAACATTTCTAAACTTGAAACTCCCTTTCAACTAGATCAACGTATGTATAAAAGAACTAATAAACAAATATTAGACTTCCTGCACTCATAGCAGCTCTGATGAACCATATGATTATAATACTTGATCGAGTATTGCAGAGACCTTAAGATGCCCATCTACATAATAAAGTACAACAATTTTAAATTTTAGAGACAAAGAGCGGCTCAGATTGTTTCTAAAAAAGTTATCATTCAACGGACTGCGTTATCTCAAACTGTCTCAAGTTATTAACGTCTCAGATCGTTTTAATCCGACGTACCACATTAACTCTTTTGAAATATTTTTGCTGCTCAAAATTTATAATTTCTAAAATTGATATTCCAAAATTTAATTCCTTCAAATCTTTTCCTTAAATCAAGCAAATATTTCTCTTATTCCGCTGTATCTTTCTCACACTCAATTCACGCAAAAAATATCAATTTTTCACAATATTTTTCTCAGTATCTCACAAAAATATTAGTGTTTGATTCAAGCAAATACTATATTTCTCTGTAGATAAATAGCATATATCACAGAAAGAGATAGTATATTACAAAAATATTCCTTTATATCTCTCTCTAAAGGAAAATTATGTAATAAATATTAGATAGATAGTATATATCACGAAAATATTCATCTATATTTCTCTCTTTCATTCAAGCAATACTACAAACACGAATCATACAAATTCAATAGTCAATTTTATTTTTTTCCATAATCAATTAAAAAAAACATAACTTGCAAAAAATATAATATAACAAGAAAATATGCTTAACATGTAAAATATACAAGATTAAATTCAGGTTATTAGGCAACTTAGATACCAAAGAGATATATTAAAAAAATATACTTAACATTTAAAATATGTAAGATTAAATTCATAAACAAACACGAATCATACAAATTCAATATTTAGTGAACAACATAAAGCAACAATATTTACTAAATAATCCAAATCTAAATACTCGAGAAAAATGATACAAAATTACAAACAGAGAAACGATACAAAATTATAAACAATACTATGAACACAAATCATACAAATTTAATATTTAGTGAACAACACGAAACAACATTCTTTACTAAATAATCCAATACTAAATAATGTTTAGTTTAAGAAAATATGTTAAAAATATAAATAACCAAGAAGAATGATATAAAATTAAAAGCACTACTATAAACTCAAATCATATAAATTCAATAGTCAATTTTATTTTTTCCATAATCAACAAAAAAAAAAAGCATAACTTGCAAAAAATCTAATTTAACAAAGAAAATATGATTAACATGTAAAATATACGATATTAAATTCAAGTTATTAGACAATTCAGATATTAAGAATATATTAAAAAAAAAATGTTTAACATCTATATAATAAAACAGGAATGTGTTTGAATTTTATCTCAATCATATTTTTCTTCTCAAAACCATCACCAATCACTTACATTACCTATCATCTCTTTGTTAGACTCAAACATTAAATCACATTACTTATTTCTATCACATGTTTAATCATTTATATATTTTTTCCTTAAAAATATCACATCACTCATTTTTATAATATATTTAATCATTTAATATTTGATTAATTCATAATTAATATATTTTGAAAAAATTTAATATAGTGGAATTGATTTTTTGGACGCACGAATTTTATATTTTATCGTGCCTTCAGACACAGGTTATGACTAGTTTAAAATATACAAGATTAAATTCATATACAAACACGAATCACATAAATTCAATATTTAGTGAACAACACAAAGTAACAATATTTAGTAAACAATCCAAATCTAAATATCTAAGAAAAATGATACAAAATTACAAATTAGAAAAACGATACAAAATTATAAGTAATATTATGAACACGAATCATACAAATTCAATATTTAGTGAACAACATAAAGCAACAATATTTACTAGATAATCTAATACTAAATAACGTTTAGTTTAAAAAAATATATTAAAAACATAAATACCCGAGAAGAATGATATAAAATTAAAAACACTACTATAAAGTCGAATTATATAAATTCAACAGTCAGGTCATATCTTTTAAAAGTCAGTTGAATTTTTTATAGTTATATTTGGTCATTTGACAACATCTGCAGACTTAGTTTATTTGTGGGAGTGTTGTTTTAATTTTCATTATTAGTTATGAATTCTATTATTATTTAAATAAATTTAATTATGACTGTTAAAATCGTGAATTTTAAATCAAAAACAAAACATTAAATATTGTCAACTGATATAATTTTTCAGATATTTAAATTATTATGTTTCAGTAGTTATAACATAATTTTCATGGCATAACAATTAACATAATTTTGCATGTAGGTTGATGTTATAAAAAATATTAACGGACTCATTTTGTTCGTCATTTATTACAATGTTGTATTTTACTTTACATTTATGTATGAGCAAATATTTGTAACTAATTTATGAGTAATATCGTACCTTCGGGCACGGGCAATTGCTAATAACGTTATATGATGGACAACTAGAAATATTCATCAACAAAACCAAGAGTATTAGTGTTCTAAAAAATCTTAACCACCATATAAACAATCATAACTATTGCTCGATTTTTATTTAAGAAAAATCATAAATGACCATGAAGACATATACTTGATATCTGTGATCTATCATAGGCAAATAATTAAATAAACATAATAAAAAGGATTATCATAAACTTACAGCACCATCCAATGATTCAATTGCACTATTGACCTCATCAGCCGAACTGTAAGTTACAAATCCGAAACCCCTTGATCTGCCACTCTCTCTGTCATAGACGACCTTAGCTTCCATAACTTTTCCTTGTCCACTAAACAGGGTTTCAAGTGCTAGATTGTCAACACCCCAGTCAAGGTTTCCCACATAAAGCCGGTTAGAGCTGTCAAAACTTGTCCCACCCCTAGCTCCTCTGAAGGAAGACTCCCCGCTAAAAGAAGACTCTTCTCTCTTTGGGGGAGGACCAGAATTCACCCGCAAAACCCTCCCCTCAAGTTCCTGCAAATTGCATAAACTAGATCAGATGCAGTAAACCATGCTAAAAAATGACATTATTTCTTAAGATGAATCAGAAAATTTTTATAAGGTATATTGCTATTGTTGTTGTCAAGATTCAGACTCAAACAAGAATAAACACCAAGTTAGATCCAATTTCCACAAATGGGATGCACTTGTATTGTAAAATCTAATGAGCTGACTTGCACAATATCAAGTAACAAAGTTTTCAAATTTTCATTTAAAAGCTAATGTAAAAGTTGACGCATTGTGTTATGGAAGATATACCCTCTCAACGAAACTAGGGGTGACAAATTTCAACACGACACAAATAAATGAGTTTGAATCGACTATTTTTTAATGAAGCTCGTATATGACACGACCCGTCAACACAAAATATTAATGCGTCGTATAGGTTCAACCCGTCTAACCCGAAATTGACCGGTGCATCTAATCGGATTCACTTGAACCCGATTAACCTATTTTAGACAAGAGCTGGCACTATATAAATAAAAGGCATTGGATCCCAAACTCTAATCCCCTCACTTTTTCATATTTCTGCTTCCCTCTCCCACTGGTTCGATCAATTGCCATTCGTAGGCCCTCACTCACCACCACCAAGACCATCACCACCGTCAGCATCCACCACCATCTCTCTCTTTCTCTCTTCCCGTTAATCTATATAAGCCGGTCGACAAATCAACAACGTGAAACCTACCATCTTAGATCTAGTCTCTACCATCTTAGATCTAACCCTACCATCTCAGATCTAGACAAAAATCTCTTATTCGAATCCACATACTCACATCCATCACCTCCACTCCAACCAGGTGATCACCAGTTGCATCATCCACAAAGACCACAACACTCCACCATTCATCATCTCAGATTTCTTTTTTTTTAATTATTATTATTCCAAGTATCTTATGTTGCATTATTTAGTTCCCTTTTCAACTTGTATTTGTTTAATTAGAAATGGGTTATATTCAATGTGTTTGAGTATATCATTTTCGAATAGGAAGTATATCATTCAATGTGATTGGTTGTAATACTTTTAGGAACTGTGTTGTGTGGCTGTGGAGGTGAATAAGAGGTGTACACAAGGAGGAGGTGGGGTAATGGGTTTGCTTCGGAATGGGCAATGGAGGTTTTTTTGCTTGTGGGTGTGGAGGCGGAGAGAATCGGGTATGGAGTGCAAGTGGAGGTGAAAATCGGGTGTTTTGCTTGCGGGTGTGGAAGTGAAAATTGGGTCGTGTTGGGCAGTCAGATGGGTCGTGTTAGGCGGTTGAGTCGTGTTCACCTAAACACGACCTTCATAAACCTAGTATCACGAGTCATGTCAGATTACTCCTATTTAGAAACAAGTCATGTTCATGTCCTAATGACTTGACCATTTCTTATTTGGGTTGAGGTGTCTTGAACCCGAACTCGATATGACACAACCCAAACACAACACAATTGTCACTCCGTAAAAAAACATTGTAAGTCTTTGGGTCATATCCTTGTGGCGAAATACGAATAAACACAGCAACTGGAACCTTAGAAAATAAACAAAATTTTGAAACAAAGGAACCAAACTAATGATGCTCACATAGCCATCGAATCGCTGAGCAGCTGCTTTGACTTCCTCAACAGTAGACATCGTCACAAAACCAAATCCACGGCTTCTCCCTGTAAACTTGTCATATATAACCTGCCAAAGCGAATCACTTCAGTACGCCTACAATTTATCATCATTTTTCAATAAAATCCGGAGTTACCTAAAATCCAAATTCCCACCC